ACTGAAAATATTAGGAGTGTCCCGCGCGCTCATATGACCTATGCAGTTGCGAGCGCCGTAAAACACTTTACAAAAGCAAAAAAAAAGGGATAGGGCACACATGTCACTGTCCGCGATGTCACTCAAGCTTACGGTGTTACCGCGCGGGATTGCTTCACTCAAAGATAGTGCAGCCTACCGTTGGGTGTTGTATCTTTGCTTCACTGTCTCCTATAGGGCTGGGCAATGAGTCACTTTAGCAAAATCCGGATAATATGTAAGTGCACTTCTTCGGCAAATAATATGTTATGAACCGCTTCGGCAAATGGGATCTGGGTTAGTATAATGTTTAGAACCACTTTAAAAAACGGGTTAGCATCAAGTAAATCAAATAATGGGTGCACCCACGTCGGCAAACGGGTCAGGAAAGAGAGTTGAAAGTCTGAATTCGGATAATGTTTCCTTGAGAATTATCCGGTTGTCCAGGTAGATTATCCGGATTTTGCCCACCTCAGTTTCTCCGTGGACAGCGGCATTTCTGCCTGTCGTGTGATTACCTCTCAGTCTCAGCTTCAACGTTCTTGCTCTGTCGTTCTTTTTTCTTCCTCACTCAGGCGTAGGAGAATGGCGGGTGCTCTGGTGTGGTTCGCTCCTTCTTTCCTATCCAACATCTGGATCTATCGTCCTTATCTCCCCTCCTTCTTTTTAGAGGGTTTTTTTTGGGTAAGTGTTTTACGGCGCTCGCAACTGCATATAGCCATATGAGCGCGCGGGACTCACCAAACATTTATAGTTGATACGAAATTTTGAATTTTGCCCGGGTGATGGCCGAAGCTTACTCTTATCTATTTCAGACCTACAAGAAATCTTTAACGTGCACAACTTGCACACGGAAACTCTGAGATTTTTCGCCCTTGTCCGAGAAGGCTAGGTAAAGATCTTTCCTACCAGAAGATCAGGGGTGCCGCTGAAAGACAGCAATAAGAAGGAGCCAAAGAGAAGCAGTAGAAAGGCTGCGGGGGCTCTCATGGCCTAGAGGTTAAGGTGTTGGCCTCTCATTCAAAGGTCCCGGGTTCGAATCCGGGTAGCGACCGAAAAATTTCTTCTCTAAAATTGTCTCCCTTCACCTCCTTTCTTGCTCTCTAGCAATGTTCTGTTGTCTGCTTTCATTTCCACTTTCTGCCCCCACCCCCTCACCTCCTTTGCCCCCTCCTCAAGGTTCCTGACTCTTTCTGCAGCCTTTCTACTGCTACTCCTTGGCTCCTCCTTACTGCAGTCTTTCTGCCACACCCCTGATCTTCTGGTAGGAAAGATCTACATCTAACCTTCTCGGACAAGGGCGAAAAATCTCGGAGGGCCCGTGTGTAAGTTGCGCACGTTAAAGATCCATTGGTGGTCTAAAATCGATAAGAGTAGGCTTCGGCCGCCACCCGGGCAAATTTCCATATTTCCTACCACCTGAAAATAAAAGGTGTGTCCCGCGCGTTCATATGAGCTTATGCAGTTGCGAGAGCGTAAAACACTTTACAAAAAAAAAAGAAAAGAAAGGCTGCAGAAAGAGTCAGGAGCCCAGAGGAGGGGGCAAAAAGGGTGAGGGCAGAAAGTGGAGACCAAAGCAGTAGACAAAACGTTGCTAGAGAGCAGAAAAGGAGGTGAAAGGAGCCAATTTTAGAGAAGAAAATTGTTCGGTCACTACGCGGATTCGAACCCGGGTCCTTTTATGGCCTTATTGTGTTGCAAGTGCCGTAAAACTTTTTCTAAAACAACACTTCATATTATAGACATTCTTACCTGAACGCCTTTCGTAACTTTAAGTTCATTTAGTTCTATACTATTAGGTGTGTACTCTTAGCAGGATATCACAATAAGAAATTTTGTAAGAATAGGTTTTTTTTTCATGATTCCAGCAATCTGATAGTGAAACTCTTTTGAAAGGTTATAACTGATCTTAAATTTTGGGTAACACACACACACACACGCGCGCGCGCGCGCGAGCACACTCACACGGACACACAACACAACACATACCCCCACATAGTAAGTATGTGTGTGAATATAATATATCAGCATAAACGCTGAATTCGTGTTCGTTGTAACAAGAGAAAGGGAATTTTGCAGCGTTTATCTTACCTCTGTTAAATGCTTATCAAGAGTTATTAATCTATTTTTGTGTGCTTGCTTTTTACAGACTCACCTGGAAGGAAAAAAGTAATCTGGGAGGTTTCTACTCCCAGACCGGACAGTTCTGTCGAGTGGTCATCCATGGTGCTGGACATCAGACACCGCATGACCAGCCCGAAGCCTGCTTCAGAATGGTGGACGCTTTTGTACATCGCGGTTGTATTGGTTCGGGAAACGCCTAGCGTGTGGCTGGTATAGCGATTTCGGCTCTGTGTATTTGGTGTGTGAGTATATCATGTGGGTTTGTGTGACATATCTGACTGTTTTGAAGGGCTGGATCCTCGCTTGTTGACAGCGGGGCAGCCTAGGTGTGTGTAGGTCAAATGTGTTCTTTTTGGGGCAGGTGTGTGTGTGTGTGTGTGTGTGTGTGTGTGTGTGTGTGTGTGTGTGTGTGG